TTGTTTCTACATTTTGGCTATTGTCAATAATGCTGCTATGAACATTTGTGTACAAGTTTTTGTGTGAACATATGGCTTCAATTTTCTTTGGTATATACACCTAGAAGTAGAATTGCTGGTCAGGTGGTAATTCTATGTGTAACTTTTTGAAGAATGGCCAGACTTTTCCAAAGCAGCTGTACTATTTTCCACTCGCATCAGTGATGTATTGAGGGTTCCGATTTCTCCACATCCTCAATAACACTTGTTATTGTCTGTCCTTTGCATTACAGCCATCCTAGTGGGTGTGAAGTAGTATTTCACTGTGGTTCTGATTTGCATTTTCCTAATGATGTTGCCTTTAAACTTTTAAACTTAAGTTTCAACCATTGCATTTCTACCATGACACTGAAGGCCGGGAATAAGATAGGAAAACTAGGTAATGACAGCATTAATAATTTAATTTTTGACAAACTGGTTTTATACACTATAATACAAACTCTCACACTGAAGTGAAATGGCAGGTATGTGAAAGAAGTAGGAGTGTTTCATACTGAGTTGCTCAAATGACTAATCATTGCTCAATTAACAAGTAATCACAACTGAGACAAATTAATGCTAAAAGTATATTTCTGATAAAGAAGTGCCAAGAAGCTGGCTATTACAAAATGAAGGTCCCAAAAATATACCATGTTTTGAAGGAACATGATCTTTAACAAATAATAGTTGCCTCAATATTATTAAAATGCTATGGCATTCTGACTGTCGATCCAGAGTATACGGGAGAGAGAAAAAGGGCTTGCGAAGGCATCTTTGACTTCTTGTGTATTTTATCTACTTGTCAGCTTTTGGCGATAACTCATAAGGAGTATACACTGTTCTAGAAGTAAAACTCTTTGATTTCTTTAGGACAGTAATAAGTGCTTGAAAGTATCTAAACAAAATAGACCTACGTTTGAGAGTGCAATTAATGGTCCCCAAGGAGTACAACCACCAGCACGCAAAGGAAGAGGAAAGCAATGGGTACAGACGAAACAAAGGAAGGGTGAGCTATGAAAACTAGAAAGGATTTCATTTAGAACTCACAGAAACAATAATCCCAACAATGATCCTGATGGGATAAGTGGTCTATGTGAGCCTAAACCCAAGTCCTGGTCAGTCAGCTTCTAGGTCAACAGCTGATGCTAACGTAGGCCCTTGTTTGTTCTATTTATATTCTACTGAAAATTTTGGGAAGAGACTATAGTAAGCTCATCATCCTTATTACCTCACTGGTTTAATCTGGAAGGCTGAAACCATGATGGTTGACCAAGCTTTATGCTACAACAACTAGGTCTGGCCTACTGACTACCTGTTGAGCCAGTGAGGCCAAGAGAAAAGATGGTTTGCCACCTTTTCAGTGCTCCCTGAACTCTGTTCTCTACTGCTTCTAGATGAAAAATGATGAGATATTTAATATGCTGTCAGTCACATCTTAGCTTCAATTTCTTATAGGAGCCCAAATTCATTTGAAAGTCACTTTCACATTCCTGAATTGTGTACGTGTTACATCTTAATCTTACTTTCCCTCTCCTGTTTTATTGTTTCTTAGCATTCCACTTCCCTACCGTTGAAACTACCCTTTGGTCTTTTCTAACATTGTCCAACTTTTTAGGCTTACTTATGTTTCTCCTCTTTTTTGAAATTACATTTTTTTGTGACCTATACTTAAAATTCTCAAACTCCTGCTTCCTTCCCTTAGATTCAGCTCTTAACTGCTTCTTCTCCCTTGTGCTGTCAATACAGCAGGTGGCTAACAGAACATTATGTGCATGTGGGCATGTA